CACTCGCCTGACCCACCTCGCAGGGCTGTTGTTGCGAGGATAACACGGGGAGAACCACACGCGCCCCCGGGAGCTCCTTGGAGGAGAAAGCGGGCGATGAATGCAATGCACGAAATATATGAGAGGCGACCAGGTTTTGCAGGTGAGGGGCCCCCGCCAGCCTCCGCTTCCAACACCCGGCGCAACGACGCCGAAGTTTCCCCCCGGGCTCGGCTCGGGGAGCAGCGCTGCTCCCCCCCGGCTCCCCTTCGCCCTCCCGGCTCTCTCTGCCGCCCACTGGGGACCCCCCTCACCTGCCAAGTCCGGAGCGCCGGTGGAAGTTGCATGCATGCATGCAGGGCGCCGCGTTGCCATTGCATTGCACTGCACTCCATGCAACGCCTGCACGCATGCATTGCCTTGCACGCCCGCCAAGGGGTCTCCCCGCGGTCCGATGCGTCCCCTCCGGCGCGGATGCAGCATTGCAAAAATAAAACCCCCCCAACGCAGCCCTACCTGGGGGGCAGCCTCCGCCTCCGCCGCTCCGCCTCCGCGGGGATCCCCGGCCTCCATCCTGCCGCCCGATCTCCGCGGGGGCGCAGGCAGGCTGCGCGGGGTCTGCGCGGAAGAGCCCCTGCCCGCCCGGCCGCCGCCGCGCTCATTCCATGGCCGGGAGAAGAGCGCTTCAAACAAAACGCCCGGCCCACCAGGCCACGCTGGGAAACGTAGTTCGTGCACCCCGAGCGGGCGCGGAGCCCAAGGGCGAGGGGACTACGGATCCTGGCAGCCCCCGCGCCGGGGACGGAGGGGGAGAGGCCGGGTGCAGGGATGGAGGGACGGGTGGGCGAGCGAGTGAGTGAGTGGCAGCCGCCAAGCCTTGGCCGAGAGCCAGGAAGGGCTTCCCCGGAGGAGGAGGAGGAGGGAGGCGCAGAGCGGGAGGGAGGGAACCCCAGGGGTCATCTAGTGACGGCGCCCCAATCGAAAATTTGACTTAAAAAAAAAAATCTTTCAATTTTTTAATTTTTCCCGCGGCACACCAGGCAACATCTCGCGGCACACTAGTGTGCCGCGGAACAGTGGTTGGGAAACACTGCTTTAATCATCCCTTCTTGCTTTTCTACATTCTGTCTCGGGAGTTTTCTGTTCTTCTTTTAAATTCTCTGTCCACTCATTTGAAAAGCAATAAAAATTATTTGAAAAGAAATTACATTTTGCCAGTCCTCGCAATCAAACTCAAGCCGTTTCTTCCAGGGCTACAGAGCCTGGAGCTCTCCACATGTTGCTGGAGAACTTCCATTATTCCTGATCACTGGCCGTCTGTGCTGGGAATGATGGAAGGGCTACAAGTTCCTCACCCCTGATATCTACTCTCAGAGGCTAGCATGATTGCCTTAACACTGCCCTGAGACACTATTTACCGCAAAAGATCACGACCTAAACGGAGGGCCCTTTTCAGTAATTTCAAGAATGGTGAAAAGGCCCGATGTAATAGACCTCCTTTGTTCTCTTCCCACAGAAAGAGGATTTGATTGAAAATGAAAGTTCGGCATGCCTGTCAAGGGTTGTTGACGATAACAGGGTACCAACACCAGTGCCATGAACAACATGACAGCATCACATTAAGGATGGGGGAATCTGTCATTAGGGAGGGGGAATGGCCAGGGCCATAGCTCAGCGGTAGAGCATCTGCCTTGCAAGCAGGAGGTCCCAGGTTCCCAGGTTCAATCCCCAGCATCTCCAGGAGGGTTGGGAGAAACTCCTGCCTGAAATCCTGCAGAGCTGCTGCCAGCCAGAGTAGACAATACTGAGCTAGATGGACCAGAGGTCTGACTCAGTATAAAGCAGCTTCCTATGTTGCTATATTGATTTTGGTTTCTCTCAGTTTTGCGTTTTCCTAATCTGAAGTTCAGTTTTCCACATCCCATTTTATGCTTTCTTTATTTTTAAAGTCCTCATGAAAGTTCATCAGCATTTTTGCATGAATTTCTCCCAATACACACATTTTTGCAAAGCAATTTCCCGTAAGGCAATGCATTTTTAAACATGATTCTCATGAATATATGCACACACTGCCCTAGCATATGAATTTTTGTACACATTACTTGACTGGAGAGCTGCATTGCAATATTCAGAGAAGTTTGAATTGCCCAGAATGCACTGTTTCAGAAATTGCAAATTAGGTAGGTTTGTCTTTAGATGCAACTGAGCTGAATTTGACCCCCACCTCTGTGTCACATACAACTCAGCTATTATCTCTTTATCTCTTTAGGCTATAAAATAAAGGTCAGACGGAAAGAGTTATGTGCCGAGCAGACTGTGTAGTCCGCTGTCCTGCTCCATCTCTCTGCTAAGGCTGTGGTAAAACCTTCCCCCTTGGCTCTTCCTCCAAAAGATGAAAGCCCAGCTGTGAGAAGTTTGCAGTTAAGCAGGCCTGAATTTTGTCCTTGCTGAAACAAGCATTCTTATCAAGGATGACTAGCCTGTGATCTTCCATTAACGAAACGAGGGCAAATTCTACTGACCTCATTAGGAAGGACCCAACCCAACCTTGTTGCATTAGGGATTTCCCCTTAACGAGAAGACAGGCCCTGGCAGACTGAGCAGACGAGACCAACAGTGGGTCCAACGGTCAAGAAGGTGGTTTCTGCATGTGCTGTAGAGGGAAGTGAGGGGCAGGTGGGGCTTGTCAGCCTGGGAAGGTAGCCCAACTAGGAGAAGGAAAACTCTGGTCCAAACCTCTGCTGCCTTCCACGATATCTTTGGGAGAAGAAAAGGCTAAGGAGTAAACTTCACACAAATCCAGAGTGGAGTCTCAAAGAGAGTTGGATGGTGCCTTGTACGCCTCCCTCTGGCACCCCCTGCAACCAAGCTGACGCCAAACATATTGTTCTGCTGTCCTTTGGCCCACATCACCGAGGCTGAGAGGGGGGCTCTTGCTGTATGGGAAGCCCAGGACCTCCACACACGCTGCCCAGGCTTGCGCCCCGGGGAGGTCACTTTGGTGCTGCTAAGGCAGCGATTTGACTTCACTGCCAGAGGCTGACTTCATTGTCTCTTGAGACACACAGATGCCAACAACATTGGAAGGACCATAGCTCAGTGCAGGAGCACACAGAAGATGCCTGGTTCAACTCCATAGGTAGTGCTGGGAAAGACTTGCCTGAAATGCTGGACAGCTGCTGCCAGTCTGGGCAGACAATGCTGAGCTAGATGGGCCAGTGGAGGCTGGTTTTTGAGGGCACATTGGCTGCTCCCCCCCACTCTGTCTGCCCTCAGCCAGCCCCCATCTGCCTGCCTTCTTACAACCCGTCAGCAAGAAGCTCTGCCTACCTTTGACTCTCCACCTACTGTTGGCCTCCTTGCCTTCTGCCCTACCAGTCTCAATAGGCACCAGCCCCCACTGAGCGTAAGGCAGCTTTCCCAGCAGGGTGGGGGAATTACTGACTGGCAATTCCAGCCAGCGACAGCATTGTTCAAAACTCCTCTTTTAGAACTGCAGCTCATTCTGCCTTCCCAGCTCGCCCAATGACAATCTGCTGCTCACACACTGACAGGCTGCTGAAATGACAGCTCAGGATTTCACACGCGGGTGCACCGTAGTCACAGGGGAGTTCCTTTTTTTTATTCCCGTTCCACTATTAGGTTTCAAACTTCCCCACTGAGTGGATATCCTCAAGCCATGCTAGGTATGCTTAGTTATGCATTGAACTTACAGAGTGGAACTAATCCAGCAATTCGGCTTCAGATACAGAACAAAGGGAAATAAGCCCAGTATCAGGTGAATGTTCAAGGCTTTGCAAAGCAAAGGCGGAACAGAGTTCTAACCACACACACTTTGCCTATCTGCAAGCAGCTCAGCTAACGGGGTGGGTGATCAGGACTGTGCCACAACTGTCCTATGTTCAGTTTGGTGCCCTTTCTAAATGTTAGGAACCTTCCCCTCTGTAGCTATTATATATTTTGGAAATAGGTTTGTCTGTCTGTCAGCCTGTTCTCCATTGGCTTGTCCACCTCTTGAGATATTGTCATCTAGCTTGGCAAAACACTTCCCAAGGTCGCAGCAGCAGATGTTGATGTTTGGATGCTGGGCGCCATTTTGAATCAATATGGTGGACCAAAACATGACTTTGGTTTGACATTGCCTGGCTTTTGGCGCGATAGGTCCAAACTGGTACATCACATTATATATACCGTATTTTTCGCTCTATAAGACACACCAGACCACAAGGCGCACCTAGTTTTTGGAGGAGGAAAACAAGAAAAAAAATATTCTGAATCTCAGAAGCCAGAACAGCAAGAGGGATCGCTGTGCAGTGAAAGCAGCAATCCCTCTTGCTGTTCTGGCTTCTGGGATAGCTGCGCAGCCTGCATCCGCTCCATAAGACGCACACACATTTCCCCTTACTTTTAAGGAGGGAAAAAGTGAGTCTTATAGAGCAAAAAATATGGTATATTTTAAAATCACAATATTTTATGGTTTCTGCAAACGCCCAGGCAGAGCTGCGGACTCCCTGCTGATTTAATAATACAACAGAGTTGCCTAAAAGATGAGGAGACGGAAACCCTCTCCAGGCATTATCAATACAGGGAAAGAAACACATATGGGGGGCAGCAACAAGGATGACTGTGGTAACTCTACCTCATGCCTTTTTATTATTTACTGAAATGATTTATATTCCGCATAACTACAACAGCCTCTGAGCAGTTTATTAAGATATGATACAAAAAATAAAAATAAGTTAAAATTTTAAAATCAAACTCCCTGGAATAATAACTTTATGTCTTCCGTAGGCACCAGAAGTGCAACCAGAAGGGGGCCTGTCTGAGCTCAGCTAGAAGGGAGTTCCCTTAAATTGGGCCCCCAAGTCTAAACACATGGCTCCTGGTGGATCCAAACCATCAATCCCAACCATGAATGCCTTGAAGACTTCAGTGATTTGGCAGGGATATTTCTGTTTGTTAGGGGCTCCCCGTGTGGTTTGGAACCCTGCTAAGAAAGACTGCCTGCTTCACCCACTCACCTGCCCTAAGTTGGAAGGCAATGGAAGCACCTCCCTCTCTCTCTTGCTCACATGTTGCCTTCCTCACATCTTGAAGAGAGTGTGCTTGTTCTGGAGGATGAATCTGCACATGGATATAAAGGTGTTAAGGTCAGTTTATTTATATGCCACTTTTGCACAGCAAACTCTGTCCAAGCAAGGTCACATCAGAAGGAGCACAGCAAGCTGCCTTACAGTGAGTCAGTCCAGGGGTCCCTCCCATCTATTCCCAATCCATATCTCTTTCATCTGCCCTACCCGTAAATCCTTTTTTTCCTGTTTCCCCATTAATCTGCATGAAAATTGCACACAATAGTCCATATTTAATACAAATTTAAAACATGCTTTTCTAAGTGTTTTCACTCTATTATTATTATTATTATTATTATTATTATTATTATTATTATTATTATTATTTTACACGTATTTTTTTGTGGGAGGCTGAAAAATCCACTTGAACATCTGGGAAGTGTGACAGTCATGGAAAAATTATGCATTAATCTGGGAGGTGCGGATCAGATCAGCTGGAATTCGCCAAGATAAAGTTCTTCAAACATCAAGGTGCTGGTGTCTTTGGAGGACACCTGAGAGCTGTGCTACTTTCTACCTGTCCAGGAGTGCCCTGTGGAAAGTTCCATTATGCAAGCATAAATCCTTGCACTGACAGGATGCATTATTTTGATAATGCCCTGAGTTTCTATTCCCCATAGCTTCAGTGGGAGGGGGAAAAAATACTTCAAACCTTAAAATATATGCAGCTTTTAGAGAACCTGCGTTTGTAGCATCCCTGCCCGTTCCCCCTAATTAAAGATAAATATACAATTGTTTTCTCATTGTACAATCTGCAGTGCCTTTGAAGCAGCAGAACCAGTCTGACCGCACGCACAAGTCAAGGAGGCTTTCTACAGAAGAAAGCACACCCATATTTAGTCTCCTTTCAAATCAAGTCTGAAATCCATTTTGAAGATAATCCTTTCCAGATTGTACAAAACCTGGGTTTTATTCTTAGTGCTGAAATAGCACGGTTTTAGAGGTCGCATTTGCTCATTTGGGTGGCTCCTTCTTTAAACTAGTGGTGGAAATGCATAAAACCAATGAAAGTTGACTGTGCGCATAAAGGAAATGTAGGCTCTATAAAATAAAGAATGCCTCTTCTTCATCACCACAGCATCATCTGAAGGCTATGGGCACCGTGTTAAAAAATTGCCTGCTGAATGCAATCCCTATGACATAATCAATAATCACATAAAATGTCTTGGCAAAAGCTATTTCAATAACTTCATCAGCTGGCTTTTTGATGCCCTACTGATCCAAATTCAACCCCTGTGGGAAACCCTAGGAGTTGAGCCAGACATGGATTTGGCTAGAGGCACTGGAATAAAATGGAATGAGGAAATAAAGTAATTTAATTGCTTTGGCTTTCCAGCTCAGGAGATCTGTATTTAAGCCACAACCAAGGCACTCATTTATTCCCTCTGTGGATTCCCCACTGCAAATGCAGAGCAAATATCTTGTCGGTCTGTACTGCAGTCTATGGTGCTGCTATTTTTAGAAAATGTTGCTTGGCTTGACTTATGACTAGTAGTGACTGGTGTGTAAAATTGGCTCTTTCAGATCAGCTTGCCCCAGCATGTCACTGGATCCTAGGGCTTGTCCAAATGACCCGTTTATTGAGCATTCATCCTGATTTTCTTGCACAAAGCTTACGCGGATGTTAGATGATATCCAGTATTTTATTGAGCGTTCATTCTGATTTGTTTGTGAGAATTATATAGCCATGAGCATTGATCTTGATCTGTTTGCAGGGTGTTTATGCATCTTCCCATAAAATATTCATTCACACTCTTCAGTGCCTTTCCTAACTGCAAAAAGTCCTTTTAAAAAGTGGATTTGTTCTAGGATGACAGAGCACTTTAATCCACTTTAATTGTGCAATGCTAAATTTCCAGCATGTCCTTGAATACCCCCCTGAAAATAGTGGCAGCCTGGAAACACGCCTAATTTTCTAGAATTGGAAAGTCATTTTTTCACAGGTTCAGTGTGGACCACAGATCTGCATCAGAGAATATCCAGCTCTGATGCAATTCAACAAAACCTAGAAACATCTCTCTGTAAAGCTGGCTTATTTCCAGATGCTTCAATTTTCCCTAGGATGTGTTGGCATGGGTTGGTTTTTGTCATTTTCACAGGTCTGCAAAAAACACACACTAAAAAACCAAACAAAAACAAATGTGTGTGAGAAAATGATGGGAAAATCAATTTTGCTGAATTCTAACAACTCCTACAGATAAATCAGTGAGAATTACAATGCAATCCTGGGCACATTCACCTGGAAGTAAGGCCCACTGTTGTTCAGTGTTAAGTATACACTGTTCGTTTCCTTCCTTTCCTCTGTCTTCTGAATGGTCTTCCACTCATGTGTCTCAAAAGCTTCTGATTTGGAATCAGTGACTTCATTTTGCATTTAAGTCTCAAGTGGCAGATTTGTGAAGATGCTCAGTTGTGTGAAGCATCAGAAAGAGGTGGTGATACAATGAAAGCTGCTTATCTTCTCCTTTGATCCAAGGGAAAGGGGGGGGGGGAACGGCAGAGATGGGAGCAGGCCAGGCCACTCAACGAAAGGCTACAATTACTATAGCAACCTATGATGGGTGATGAGGGGTTGTGGTAGTGGAATGTAGGATCGTCTTGTTACTAGAGGCGTGTGGTGGGAAGGATATCTGCCAAATAAGAAATGAATTTTTGATTCCAACACAACGCAACTACTGAGAATTTCTAACCATGCTTGATCAGCCACCACCCACTCTGACAGCAAAGTGCATCAGCAAATGGAAATGAAATTCCTTGATTCAGCATCTGACCTCTTAGCACCAACGTGCCACTTTAAAAATTCATCAATGCACTCCTTGGAGATCCTTCTTGAAAGGAAGATTGCCAAACATGAGATTTGCACTTCTTCACACTTGTCAGATCCACCTTGCTGGGTCATTGGCTGTGAGCTTATATGTCAGACTTGTCCATTTGCCCTCTTTTTTTAAAATTAATATCAGTGGAGATGGTGAGTCTCTGATCTCTTGGGCAGACCTTGTCATGTGAAGCTAGCAAGGCAGGAGTGCTGTTGTGCCCTTCACTTTCTTATCAGTCATACCTAGCTAGGATGTGTCCGTAATGCAGCATTAATGTGCATGTGGGTCCCACAGATTCCATTTTTTTCTGTGTGCGCTTTTGTCCATGTAAAAGCACTTTACATTCTATACCTCCAAAATCTATTTCACTGCTTGCCATCCACTAGTGGGCAGTGCTTGACGGGATGGATGGATCTGCGCTGCACAGTCTTATCCCCTTCCCTCTGTTATTCCTTCTCTGCCTTTCAATCAATGTCAACCAGACAATGATGATCAATGGAAACCAAAATAGTTAAGAGTGATCAATTAAATAAGGCAGGGTTGGTGGTAGGTAGCACAAGCATCCTGGCATTGGCAAGATGACACATGTAATGAGAATATGATTAAAAATGATAATTTTAATTTAAGCCACAATTGTCCGATAAATTAAAATTCAAGGAGAAACTCCAGCAAGTGATCGAATTGCTATTTATGGGGCAATTAAGTAATGTTACCTGCAGGTTGAATCGAGATTAGTTTTAACAAAATAAAAATAAAAATAGCACATGTTAATTAGCTTATCAGTGCCAGGATTTGCCACCACCAATGCTGTGGCCCTTGCTAACTGATCACTGTAATTATTTAGCATCACTGCCTGTTCCTTTTGCATTTCATTTCCTTCTGAACTTGCTCCTCTGTGTTCCCACCCTCCAGAACACCATATGTGTGTCTTCTTGCACATTCAGGATTACTTCATGTGCCGAATGAAATGGACTGTGGTTCATGAAAGCTTATGCCATAATAAATCTGCTTGTCTTGAGGGTGCCACATGAATATTTGTTTTTGCTGCAACAGACTAACATGGCTAACCTTTTGGAAACTGTTCTTTTTAAACAAGTGTTTGATGTTTAATTGATTCTCTGTGTGGGCTGGTTGATGGTTCTTAGATGTAGCCAGCTTATTACGAATGTTACATCATTTTTAAAAAGTCCATCTATTTGATGCACTTACGGCTTTTATTAAGTTACTTTTTATGACCGCAAGCAGCTTTGAAGACAGGGGGACAGAAAAGTTGTCATATACACAGCCAAATCCAAATATATTTCCAAGGCTGTTTCTATGGGAAATGAGGAGAGCTGTAAAAAGCAAACCACGGCCACATCCATGTCAGCAGTATTATACCACTTTAAACAGCCACGGCTTCCTCCAAAGAAATCTGGGAGCTGTAGTGTGTTAAGGATGCTGAGATTTGTTAGGTGATCCCTATTCCCTGCCCAGAACTACACAGGGCTAGCCCACCCATGAGGTTTAACAATCACACTCTCTTCCTAAGGAACTCTGGGAACTGTAGCTCCATGAGAAGAATAGGGGACTCTAAACAACTCTTAGCACCCCTAAGAAACTATACTTCCCAGGATCCTTTGGGACTGTCTACTGTCTTAAATGTATGGTGTGGGTATGGCCCATCACTTATGGGGCAGGGATGCAGCCAAATCAATTCTGTTGCATTGAACATTACATTACACATTGCAGTACATTACATTAGACAAAAGAGTATGTCTCACCTAATTCAATACAACCATGAGTCTGGAATCAGATTATAAGAACATAAGAGGATTCCTGCTGCATCAGACCAAAGGCTCCAAGGATTTCTGCACCCTGTTCTTATGGATGCTCATGGGAAGTCTGAAAGGAGGATATAACGGAATGCCAAATGGCATATTTTAACCTGTTTGGAATTCAGTGAGAATGTGAACTTGCCGAAGCAGGAGATTCCAGCAACAAAGATTAAGGCCACCAAGGTTTATTATCATTAAGAAGCTTGTCCTTCTATTTGATGGTATTTTCTGAATGTTTCCCCCCTGCATCTGTGCTGAAAACAGGAGTATGTATATAAAATTTGGATCATGTTTTTCTTTTCTTTTCTTTTCAAAAAGCACGACACTGGCCTCTTAATATTTAAAAAGGACATGCAAAATATGATCCAGATGTCACTGGCTTATGGCCATTTTATCCTGCCATTTTAGATTTGGAAAACTTTATTTGACTAGGAACAAAAGCTAAATCCCACTGCTCATTTCCATAAAATGCCTGAGCTTAGAGGATATGAAAGGATTCCACCCAAAAGGATTTGAAAGAAATCTGCCCAAAGAGGAGTTCAAGAGCCTTGGTATAAAGAACTACTCACAGGGTTTAAGGTAAAGGGATGTGCCAGGATTTTGATAAGAGGGGAATCATACAAAGTGAGTTGATTTTTCAAATTGCTAATTACCATCTATGTGGAGGACTGCAGCCCTGGATAAAGGCATAGTATTTGAAACATGTTGTGTCTAGGTTCATAAAATGCAGCTTTTTATTTTTATTTTGGTGGGGGTGGAATGGCACTGAAGGGTTGGAAAACAACCCTGCTCTGCAGGAATATTTGCAAATAATCACCAAATTATTCTTTCACAACAGAATAATAGAATTGTAGAGTTTGGAGGGACCCCGAGGGTCATCTAGTCCAACCCCTGCAATGCAGGAATCAAAAGCATCCATGAGAGATGGCCATGGAAACTCTGATAAAACCTCCAAGGGAGAGTCTACTACACCCCAAGGGAGTCCATTCCACTGCTGAACAGCTCTCTACTGTCTGAAAGTTCTTCCTGATGTTTAGTCAGAACCTCCTTTCTTGTAACTGAAGCCATTGGTTTGAATCCTACCCTCCGGAGCAGGAGGAAACAAGCTTGTTCCATCTTCCATGGGACAGCCCTTTGGATATTTGCAAATGGCTATCATATCTCCTCTCAGTTTCCTCTTTTCCAGGTTAAACATACCCAGCTCTCTTGACCGCAAATGGTATTAGTTATGCAGATGTGGTGGTGTGGTCTTAGAGAACAAAATTTACACATCTTGAGGTCACGCACATGTGTGTAAGTGGAGTTGGAACGTGTGGCTGGGGCTGGGCTGTCTTCCCAAAACAACAAATGGTTCCAATAAAAAATGCCCCTCCTGTTAAGGACGGGGCTTCTTTTCCTTGACATTAGCAGCACTGTTGCCCATCAGGGGTTCTTGTTTCCAACAGCTTGCCTCAGCGAGATCAAATCCAGTGGGCAGCATGTGGTAATCAGAAATGGCAACCTGGCTATCTGCCCCATTAATTACCCCCTGCCATTCTTTGGTCGATTCTGATGTGACATGCTTTGCGCTCAGTGTGAAAAGATTAATTTGCTTTCAAGGGCAACTGCCCCCCAGTGATCTCTCTTCTTTGCTTTTCCCTGATCAAGTTAACCGCCAATAATGAACAGCATCAACTCAAGGATTCTTCAAGAAACACACACACACAAAACACCCTCACCAAAGTGTTGTACAGAGCGAGTCCTTAAATATGAAGCTGGCTAATTAAATCTATGTATCAGTGTATTTAATTACCATAGTGCTACTTAATGGACATGTCTCCTAAAGATAGCGTTGCTGCAGTAAATGACACACTTCATCTGCTTTTGAAAGATTGAACAATGGCAAATTATTCAAGGCTTCTGCTGTTCTTCTTCTCGACAGCTTAAAGGGTGAGGCATATCAGGCTTCGGGGCTGGCTGAGATCTGTCAAATATTGCTATTGAGGTTGCAGTTCAGCCACATTCACTATTAGAATGAGCAGTGATGTGGTGTCCTATACTGGCTGGGAGGATGGTGTTCTGCGTGGAGGTGATGTTGTGAGGACTCCCATGTCACAGAACACCTCCTGGTGAAAGCAGCTGTCACTGTGATGATTAGACCCTGCAGAGCTGGTGAGCCAGTTACGACAGTCTGCCTTAAAGATCCACAAATAAATGTGGATCTTGAAAATAAATAATATTTGATGTACACTTCTGTTGAGGCCACCATTCTGTGCGCTAGAGCAGGATTGGAGCAGTTCTCTGTAACATGTATACTGTCACTTACAATGTATTTTATTTATGCTTATGTTTTTAAATATGCTGCAAGTCACTTGGAGACCTGTATGGAACAAGCAACTAACAAGCCTAAATAACAACAGGTATAATAATTTATTTCTCGTCTAGTTTCTTTACAATGTAATGAAATAAACTTCTTGAAACTAAGTTCTTCCACCTGTTGATATCTGAGAGGCTCAATGAATGAGGGAGTGAATTATGTGCTTTGTGCTGACTTCCCTTGACTGGCCTCAGGGCATGATCTTGGAAAGATTCCAATTCAATTTTAGCTTGTCCTGGATCCTTACAGTGCCAGAAATGTAAGGTGCTAGTAAATATTAGCATTTAGCACATCATGGCTATGTTTCCTGAGGCAGCAGCTGAGGACCCCTGAAAGAACCTCCTTGGCAGAAATAGTTCTCTGCTTCTGCCAGCAGTAAAGCTATCCCAAGCTCAGCAAATCAACAAACAAAGCATTTGACCATATCATCATGATTGTTGGCTTGAGACCGTAACAGTAAGTCTTGGGTATCAAAGCAGTGCCAAGGTTAGTTTTGTTTGACCATCTAAAAAGGATCCCACCTCCTCCTAGGATAGAGATGTAATAAAGAGACACTTGTCTAAGGTAAGGTTACCAGATTTTTTTCAAAGAATCTAGGGACACTTTTTTAAAAAGAGAGACAAAAAAAGTTATTAAATTTTTTTAAAAAATAAATAAATAAGAAATATCTTCTCTACTGTGATCTCCTCTGTCGCGCGGCCTTCCTCTGGGCCCCGGCCTGCTCTCTTGGAGCTCTAACTGCCATGGAGTAGGCTCAGGTTGGGCCTGGGCTCAGCCACCTGTCCTTGCCCTCCCGGTGCTCTCCACCTCTCTTCCTCAGCGGCAGCAGCAGCATGGCAAGGTCGGGAATCCCCTCTTTTTTCTCCTTCCTCTTTCTCTCTCTTCCTTCTCCTCTCCTCCTTCTCCCTGCGTTGGCTCCAGGGTTTTCCTAGCCCTGGAGCGCCACTGGGCAGTCGGCTGGGTGCTCTCGCGCCCGGCTTGATTTGGGTCATGGAGGGGTGTCAGTGGTTCCCCCAGTTGACGCACCGGGCATCCCCAGTTCCCTCGGTAGTGGCGGCAACAGTGGCAGTCTCAGCAGCCCAGAGCCAGCCTGGTAGCGCAGTTGGCTCTGGCTGGCTTCAGGAGCTGCTCGCTGCTGTGGCGCCCGCCATTTTGCCTTGCCGGAAGGCCCCATATGATGTGTCTTGTGCCGCTGAACCAATCATGCAGCATTCATTCCCGACTAATATATCTACAATACTTAAAATATAAATCTGGGGACATTAAATGAAATCCGTTGACATTCCAGGGACGGATTTTGTCCAGGGACAGATTTGTAAATCCGGAGACTGTCCCCGGGAAACGGAGACATCAGGTAACCATAGTCTAAGGGAACTGTTAATTGCAAAGTGAACCAAATGGATGCCATTATTTAAATCATGTAGGCAATATTAGAGTGGAGCGCCTCCCAGACTTATAAACTAGCTGCCATCCTGCCAATATTATTTATTTTGTACATGTTTGTTTATTACTAGATTCCTTACCCACCCTGCATCATGAGGTACCAGGGCGGGTTACAGTAATTTTAAAACACAATATTAAAAACAGATTACAATTAAGAGAATAAGGTTCGTCCTAAAATATATACTTATCTTGTTGATTTATACAAAGTATTAGTAAAATGCCAATTCATTTGGGGGGGGGAACCCATGAAGTCATAGGAAGCTCAGTACAGCATGGTGGCAGAGGCAATCTTGCTCTCCTGCTGCCATTGGCTGCCCTGTGCCTCCCTCTCTCCATCTCAGAAGGCAGCAGCAACCACAGTGTTGGGAACAGAGCCCCACTTGCACTGCCCCACTGCCCTCTACTGCCTCTATTTTAAGGACGTTCTGGTCCAAGCCCAGTTTAAGGATAAGGAAATTAAGAAAGGAGTGTCAAGCCTTTGAAGCTGCTTATCAACAATTTGCATCAGGACAGTAGCCTCAACAAGCACACAGGTCATCTGGCCAGTCTTCCCCATTATGATAAGCTGCATTTTATTTATGTTTATAGTATTTATTTCTTAATTTGCATCCTTCCTCTAAATTAGCACATGCATTTTCAATGCAAGTCTCTGCCCTTCTTTGTCCACTTTTATTTTGCAGCCGTGTAAAGAGGCCACCCTAGCCACTGATGATAGATGGCCCTACAGAGTGAGGTGGAGATAAAAATCTAGTTGGTGGTTATAATTCCCCGCCCCATCCCCTTGCATCCAAGTCAGAAGCGTTACAAAGGAAATCTACCGTGAGAAGAAAAGTTTCCTTTCTGAAAGACAAGATTAAATTATCCATATCTGTATTAGACAACACTCACCATTTCATTGCTTCATTTTGCACACTAATCCAGCCAGCCTCTGCAGCAGGAGATAGGAAACAGTGAGGGCTTCAGGGAAGCAGGACCCGCCGGCTGAGAAGGACAAATATCCAAGAATGTCATTTGCTACAAGGTAGGAGTTGTAGGTATTCTTCCTCCGCTTTCATTTTTATACAGCGCTGGTCAATTTCACAGCCCATAGCAATGCTGAATGGGGAAATTGGAAACCAGCAGAATCGATTTGCAGAAGTGAGGTTCTATTTTCTTTTACAGCTCTCTCATCAGAGTTGCTATCATTCCCGTGTTATGTGGTATTATTATCGAAAAGAAGCCTGGGCATTGCTGATAATTGCTAAGAGAGGCTGAAGCCGTCCTCTTAAAGTAAAAATGGGACCACATTGCCACACTCCCCAAAGGTGCTGGTTCTGAATGTTTCTTTAGGTTGTCAATAATACATTGGAAGGGTCAGTGGTTAAGGTTCTCACATCAGGAGCCTGTCTGATACTGGCACGCACCTGGAAGCCTCTCCTGCTAAAAATGGAGGTGTGCTAATAATGGAGTTACCCAAGAACTAGGGCAAGGCACTCTACAGATGCACAAGGGCATCCCATCTTTGGCATTCTTTCAGGTGCTAGATTTAAGTATTATATTTTTAAAATGTGTTAGTGGGATTTCTGTTGGACATGAACTGAAGGCAATGTACAATTAACAGCAAGTTAAAAAAAAAGTTTTGAATACATTAAACAAAAGAGAAACAAAAATATAGCTAAATGAGCATAGAAAGGCACAGCATGATGCTTTCTCACCAAATGCTTCTGGGAAGCCCATCATCAAGAGCATGAATGCGCCAGACATCTCTCCCGCCCCCATGTTGCCGGCTAGAAACCAATCCTCCTTGCGGGGTCAGCAAATCTCCCCACACCTGCCCCAGTCAAAGTACAGAATACCAGATGAGTTATTCTAGTGTTTTTACATGAGTAGAATGTGTGCTTTTATTTAAAATGCATCCCTGGGTTATTTGTGGGGCATAGGAATTCGTTCATTTTTTTCTTCAAAATATAGTCTGGCTAAGGGGCAGTGGACCGGCCCCCTGCTGAAAGTCTGCTGACCCCTGTTCTAAGATGTCGACCCAATGTTAATACAGTAGGGTGCTGGCGCAAAAAGAGGCATTTTCTACTGTCGTCTCTGTACCTACCTTTGCCATATGTGAAGTAGCAACCACCAGTCACTTCAGATGTCTTGTGAAGACATACCTTTTTGCCCAGACTTTCCCTAACCCATAAGACTGTACCCTGCTTTATGTGTTTAAATCTTCTGATTCTGTGTTTTATTTGCATTTATTTGCTTTTATGTGTTATTACGCGAGTGGCACTGTGGGTTAAACCACAGAGCCTAGGGTTTGCCGATCAGAAGGTCGGTGGTTCAAATCCCTGCGATGGGGTGAGCTCCCGTTGCTCGGTCCTGCTCCTGTCCACCTAGCAGTTCGAAAGCACGTCAAAGTGCAAGTAGATAAATAGGTACCGCTCCAGCGCGAAGGTAAACAGCGTTTCCGTGCGCTGCTCTGGTTCACCAGAAGCGGCTTAGTCATGATGGCCACATGACCCGGAAGCTGTACGCCGGCTCCCTCGGCCAATAAACCAAGATGAGCGCTGCAACCCCAGAGTCGTCCGCGATTGGACCTAATGGTCAGGGGTCCCTTTACCTTTTTATATGGCTATTTTAATGGGTTTTGGTTGTGTTTTTGTTCTTTTAATACTGTGATGATATATTTTTTGTTTTTTAGACTGTACTCCACTTAGAGATTTTGGAAACATTAAGCATTTTATAAATGCTTTAAAATAACCAAACTTATTTACAGCTGCTATACACAACAAAAGCAGGATGAAAAAAAACAAAGAAGCCCTCAAACATTTGTGGTATGAAAAGCTATAGGATTTCAGCAGGAAGTTACAGGACATGCACCAATTGGAAATGAAATGATCCCAAAGCTTTTGCATACCCAAACAGTATTAAAAGCAGGATCACAAATAACTACCCTCATGAGCATAAATCATCATGGATGCACAGTAAAAAGGATGCCTGAAGGGGCCCTGAGACACACTGTTTATTATTGAAATAAAATTATATTTTATTTATATCTGAAAGTTTCAAAGCACAGTCGATCCTCACAGCATCCCTGATCTGGTTCCTCACAGCATCCCTGATCTGGTTAAACTGAAATACAGTGGCTATCTCAAGGCCATATGCAGCTGAATCCTATGCATGTTTATCTGGAAGAAAATTCTACTGTGTTGAATAGGGCTTATTCCCAGGTAAGCATGCAGGTCAGTCCTGATAATTTTCATGCGTGAGCAGAGATCTAGAAAAGGGAGCCTTTTGGGCCCAGCTTTATTTTTACATATTTATTTCACAAAATGTATATTTAGCTTGACTGGTTTGTTGTTTTTTAAGAAAGCCTCAAAGCAGTTTACAAAAAGAACAGAACATCTTTGTTTAAAAAGCCAGTTAAAAACGGATACAGTGGTGCCTCGCAAGACGAAAAGAATCCGTTCTGTGATTCTCTTCGTCTAGCGGTTTTTTCGTCTTGCGAAGCAAGCCCATTGAAGGATTAGCGGATTAGCGGCTTTTAGCGGCTTATCTGCTGATCGGATCAGCTGATAAGCGGCTTAGCGGCTTAGAAAAAGGGGGGGAGGGAAAAAAACCAGCAGGAACTCGCAAGACATTGTCGTCTTGCGAAGCAAGCCCATAGGAAATTCGTTTTGCGAAGCACCTCCAAAACGGAAAACTCTTTCGTCTAGCGAGTTTTCCGTCTTGCGAGGCATTCGTCTTGCGGGGCACCACTGTATTTAAACACACACAAAATTAATTAAAATCAACGGATAAGCTAAAAACCAGTTTAAAACACGGGTCAACATCACATATGTCTGGATTGGCTTGCCTAAACCAAAGTGTTTTTAGGATCATAGAATTGTAGGGTTAGAAGGTACCCTTAGGATCATCCAGTCCAACCCGTTGCAATGCAAGAATGTGCCACTGTCCCATTGGGGATTGAACCTGCAACCTTGGCATTACCAGCACTACGCTCTAACTGACTGAGGTGCTGGAAAGCGTGCAGCGAAGGTGCCTGCCTGATGTCAAACAGAACCAAATCCTCAAAGGATGAGTAGGATGCAGCACCTGCAGCAGTTATGTAAAACGTTGTGACAGCAATCACTACTATTATGCTAAAGGAAAAAGAACACTGCATTGAAAACCATCCCTATTTTCTTCTAGGACACTTGATGCACTCAACTCACTAGCAGAAAATAATAATAACAATACAGTGGTACCTCAGGTTAAGAACTTAATTAGTTCTGAAGGTCAGTTCTTAACCTGAAACTGTTCTTAACCTGAGGTACCACTTTAGCTAATGGGGCCTCCCGCTGCCGCCGCGCCGCCAGAGCACGATTTCTGTTCTCATCCTGAAGCAAAGTTCTTAACCCCAGGTACTATTTCTGGGTTAGCGGAGTCTGTAACCTGAAGTGTTTCTAACCCGGGATACCACTGTAATAATAATAAAACATTATTTATACCCTGCCCATCTGGTTGGGTTTCCCCAGCCACTCTGGGCAGCTTCCAACAAAATATTAAAAACAGAATAAAACATCACACATCACATCACACCTCATTCCATTGAAATGAGGCTGTATTTTAATGTTTTAATATTGTATTTTAACCTTGTTTTTAAGTTGTATTTCAATCCATCTGTTTTTATATCGGGTGTCAGCCGCCCTGAGCCCGGACTTGGCTGGGGAGGGCGGGGTATAAATATAAATTTATTATAATTTATTATTATTAAAAACTTCCCTAACAGGGCTGCCTTCAGATGTCTTCTAAACGTCAGATGGTTGTTTATTTCTTTGACATAGGAGGGCGTTCCAGAGGGCGGGTGCCACTACCGAGAAGGCCCTCTGCCTGGTTCCCTGTAACTTCGCTTCTTGCAGTGAGGGGACCGCATGAAGGCCCTCGGAGTTGGACCTCAGTGTCTGGGCTGAGCGATGGGGGTGCAGAAAACCTTCATTAGGAATAGCAAAAGCCTCCAACTTACATTTTACATTTCCACGTGCAGAAAAATGTATTATCTTATTAAAACTATGTAAACTTGTGGACTTGACAAATATATTGTGTGTGTGTGTTATATATATTCACACACACATATAACATAAATGTCATATTTATGTATATAAAATTAATAATGTTGTGAAATGCCCTGAGATCCTGGGATGAAGGGCGGTGCATACAAATTTAACCAATAAAATAAAATTAATACGAAAGACAGCAATAATAAACCACCGCACCCTTTGATCCAAAGCACCAGCCGTGGACGAAGAACATATACCGGGCCACACTCAAATCATCCACCGCGACCTCTGCGGATTATCTCCTCAGAGCAGCGAGCCACCCGCTTGGCGAAGAGCCGCGCGTTCACTTCAGAACTACGATTCCCGAGGTGCACTGCGCGGGAGTCCCGCGGCTGCGACTGGGGCGGAACACACCCAACCCCGCAGAACGCAGACGACACGCACGCGCGCGCACACATATTAAAACTACAACTCCCAGCGGCGACCGAGCGCTCGCCGGCCAATCCGCGCTCGCGAGCGTGCGGCGTGTCTGTGAAGTAGGGCGGGCGGGGGAGCCCGTCCTTTGGCGGAGCCGACTGGAGGCCGCGCTGGCGGCGCTCTCGACGGGAGGGTAGCCGAGGAAGGCAATAAAGGGTGTGTGTGTGTGTGAGAGAGAGAAGCTTCGGCGCCCCCCCCTTCTTCTTCCTCCTCCCCCCCTCAGCCTCGTGGTGGGCCCATCCACTCACCCTTCCCCTCGCCCGCCCCGCAGTATGGCTGCCGTGGGAGGTGGGCGCAGCTGGGCCGGGGCCTGAAGGCGGTTGGCGTGGGGCGGGGCGGGGGGGGGTAGGTGGGCGCGCGAGGTAGTCCGCGAGGGGCTTTCGAGGCCTGGCTGTTGGGAGGGGCCGGGCAGCAGTTCCATTGCAAGGGTATTGCGGGGGGTGGGGGTGCACCAAAGTGGGGGGGGGCGTTGCTGATTATATGTGGGGGGAGTCTTTGTGAGATTGGTGTTGGCCATTATTATTATTATTATTATTATTATTATTATTATTATTATTATTATATTACTTGCGAAGTCAAAATGTGCTGGGAAGGGTTGTCAACTTAAGACGCATCAGCGCCCATGGCACTTCCTTGTGCTGTGTGTGTGTTATTAGCTGGGTATAGACAAGTGTGGGAGGTGTCAGCCAAGAAGCCTTATGCACATCCCCCCTACTCAGAAATAGGCCCCACTGTGCTCGCTAGGGCTTTCTGGCAGGTAAGTGTTTGTGTGTGTGTCTGTGTGTAGGTTAGCAGCCCCAGTTAGACAGGTTTTTAATTCATTTAAGCATTCGTGTGTGTAGGACGGTGGCAGTTTTGAATCGGATAAGTGGCCCTTGGGTTTTGGGGTGGGTGTGGGTGGGGTCTGACTCGCCACAGGTGCCATCTTGGAAGAGGGATCGCTTCCTGTTGTGTAGGAAGGAGGGCTGGGGGTGCTGGGGTGGTGTAAAATGATAATAATTTGAAGGATCCTCTCCAAACATTTCTTATCTCTGGCGCGCACATGCCAGTGTCTGTGAGCAACAGGGTCTGGATTTGGAGGATGTATAGCTGAAATGCATAGGACTTTGTCAATATGCAGTGTGTCTGTGTTATGAATGTACATGTAAATTGAGTTAAGTAGCTTGAAGATATGTTTCCTCTGTAGGGTCCTGGGGTATGTGGAAACAGGGAGGACCTGGATGAGGCAATTGGTGAGTGCACTAGATATCATTAAATGATTAGACACTTATCTGAGGCAGTAGATGAATTCACTATCAAATGCAGAATTCCCAGATACATTTCTTAAAAAATAAAATAAAATAAATTGCTGCTAAACATGAGAAACCTTTGTGAGTTAGTTCTTAAAGGCACACCTTAGCCATATCTATGTGTAAAAAAAAAAGGCATTGTTCAGTTATTGTCAAGAATCTACAAAATGCAGTTGCCATAGTTGCTTGGCAAGCATTATCAACCCCAACCCCCAACTATATCATGAAGATTGGCTGTGATTTCAAGCTGCATTTTCTGGGCACGTAGAACACCTTCCAAACTGTCTCCATTGTAGGATGGCTTTCCAAGAACAGGCAATTGTGGACTCATGTTAAAGTTCTGTCCCACTCTTTGAAGAAAAAGGCTCCCAAAAGGTCAACAACAACAACAACAACGTTATTACTTGTAGCCCGCCCATCTGGCTGAATTTCCTCAGCCACATGTGGTATTCAAGCAATACAATATAGCATACAAATTGACACCAGCCATCTCCTTAAAATATTGAATGAAAAATCTGCAAGGCAGAGAGATCTTCCCAAAAACCAGCCCTGACCCACAAATGCTGGAAGAGATCAGGAATAAACTATTCAGAGGCGCCTTGTAGGGGTCGATAGGGCAGAACTTCAAAGACTGAAAGTTTGTGTGAGTGGTTGTCTCAGCAGACATAAAACTTGGGCAGGATAAGTCAGTTACTGTGCAAGTACCATGTAAGAATTCTCAGACTTTATAGTGGAAGCAGAAGTATCCAGATTAAGAGTGTTTTGATAGTAGAATGGGATTTGTAATATGTTTAAATACCCAATCTTTCCCTCTGGGAATTCTGCTTGCTTTGTTGCTTTAACAAAAGGTTGCTTAATTGTTACTTTTCTTGGCACTCCTTGCAAGATTTTTATGCTTGGTTGTCTTTTTTCGTTATGTACTAATGGTTGTGGCATAGATTTTAAAGATAATTAGATTAAATGCAATTTATGTCAGTTTTTTTTTTAGATCTTATCACAGAGGTAAAATGCATAATAGGTCTTTCAGGGCTTTTATTTTATTTTTGTCAGTTGGTTACAAACATTAGCCTATTTCCAATCCATATGAAGTTTTGCTCTAGCCAGCATTGAGTGGTGATAAATCATAAGCAGGTTTGCTTCCCCAGTACAGAATTGTTTCTCATAGTACAGAAGTGGCATATGATTAAAGCTTTAATTATGAACCAAAACTGCAAATCATTTATTACAGCGGTACCTCAGGTTACGAACTTAATTCGTTCCGGGAGTCTGTTCTTAACCCGAAACCGTTCTTAAACTGTGGTGTGTTTCCGCTAATGGGGCCTCCCACTGCTGCTGTCGTGTGATTTCCGTTCTCATTCTGGGGCAAAGTTTGTAACCCGAGGTACTACTTCCGGGTTAGCAGAGTATGTAACCCAAGGTGTTTGTAACCTGAGGTACCACTATACAGTGGTACCTCGGGTTACATATGCTTCAGATTACATACGCTTCAGGTTACAGACTCCGCTAACCCAGAAATATTACTTCGGGTTAAGAACTTTGCTTCAGGATGAGAACAGAAATCGTGCTCTGGCGGCGCAGCGGGAGGCCCCATTAGCTAAAGTGGTGCTTCAGGTTAAGAACAGTTTCAGTTTAAGAACGGACCTCTGGAATGAATTAAGTACCTAACCCGAGGTACCACTGTACTCTTAATGGGTTGGATACTTGTATCTAAGCATTTGGAAACTCTACCAATACACAGAGAGCTCTGTGTTGGAGCTAAAGATAAAAGAGGAGTAAGGTAAGAAAACCCAACTCTTGCTTCCAACCTTATAATCAGGCTATCTGTTTTCAATAAATATGAGGAAGACAAGCAAACATAATGCCTGGGGAGGTCTTGTTATGGCCTGTTGGGGTTTAAAAAATGTATTACTTCTGCTGCACTTAATACAAATTCCTGGTTTTGGGGATTACAAACTGATACCATTACATCAATCGCCTTGCCCTAGTATTAGTTGCCTCAGTACTAACATCTTATCCCTGTCCCCAACCCCCCTTTAAAAAAAATTAGCAGTGCAGGAGCTAGGAACATGGTGTCTTTGGCTTTGACAGAAATGCTTAGTTTGCCATGATGAAGGAATTACAGTGGTGCCTCGCAAGACGAAATTAATTCGTTCCGCGAGTCTTTTCGTCTTGCGATGTTTTTTATCTTGCGAAACACGGTCCGTCGCAACTGCACCTCTTCAAGCGGCTTTAAGAAAAAAGCGAACAAACTCGCAAGACATTTTCGTCTTGCGAAGCAAGCCCATAGGGAAATTCGTCTAGCGAAGCAACGCAAAAACCGAAAAACCCTTTCGTCTAGCGAGTTTTTCGTCTTGCGAGGCATTCGTCTTGCGGGGCACCACTGTAGTAGTTGTTTTAAGTTTAAGAAAAGTCAAGGCCAAGGTTCTTGTTTCAGCATTCTACTTTTAACAGTGGCTGTTCAGATACTACTGGGAAGAAGAAGAAGAAGAAGAGTTTGGATTTGATATCCCGCCTTTCACTCCCCTTCAGGAGTCTCAAAGCGGCTAACAATCTCCTTTCCCTTCCTCCCCCACAACAAACACTCTGTGAGGTGAGTGGGGCTGAGAGACTTCAAAGAAGTGTGACTGGCCCAAGGTCACCCAGCAGCTGCATGTGGAGGAGCGGAGACGCGAACCCGGTTACCCAGATTACGTGACTACCGCTCTTAACCACTACACCACACTGGGGACAGTGTCCAGGGACAGAGCATGAGTACAACAGAGTGCAAGGTTTATGGAGATTAAGCAACTGGCCGCATCCCCCATGGAAATTGATTATTTTCGAGAAAAGGCCCCTAAGCATCAGTTGAGTTCCAGCTGCTGCCAATCAGTAGACAATACTAAGCTAGGTGGACCATTGTTTTGACTTTGTATAAGGCATCTTCCTGTGTTTATCAGTCAGGTGTTTAATTCTGCTGATCTACTTCGTTAGTTACAATTTCTAATTCTGCTGATCTACTTTGTTAGTTACAATTTCTGAGTTCTTCCGCTTATGAAGAAAAAGTTCTTTTTTTATGAAAATAGGAAAACATATTCATGACTTGGGCACTGTAAACAGCAAATGAATGAATGGGTAGGGCACAGATAAATAATGCAGTCATAGTGAAGTGAATACATCCAGTAGATCTACATTGTTGTAGAGTCTCATAATGTTCTCATTCCCAAGTATATATTGTACAACCTTCATTTTAGCTGAAGGCATGAGAGGGGTTGAGATTCTTGTTTGACTGCTTTGTGTAAAGTGATTAATAATTATGGAGTGATTTTTAAAAATTGTTTAGAGCTGTAGTTCTCAACCTTTTCAGACTTGGGACTCACCTTTAGCCCAGACATGCATTTGGGGACCTTTTCTATATTAAATTTGTACTGTGGTAGCTCTAATTTTGCACCCACCTTAGGTCAGATGAATGTTACTGGATCCTGTTTCACCAGTAGGGATGGGTGATATCTTGTTTTCAACATCACAATATATCACTAGCTAAATTTCATGATATCTCCTGCCAACCTAACAGTTCGAAAGCACACCAGTGCAAGTAGATAGATAGGAACCGCTGTGGCGGGAAGGTAAACGGCATTTCTGTGCGCTCTGGTTTCCATTATGGTGTCCCCTTGCACCAGAAGCGGTTTAGTCA